CCACGGAGGGCCCCCGCGACCGGCCCCGCGGGTCGTGTGTGTATGGCTCCAGCAGGCAGGCCTCCGACCTGTCCTTACCTCGTGGAAGCCTGACCAAATCAAACAGGAGGATTGGCCAAGCCCCTTATCAAGGCTTTGTCCCATTTTTAATTAACAATGGTGTTAATAAACCTCTTGCCACTAACACTAAGTTTTCCATGAAGCATTTGCTAGGCACAGGAGAACGCTGTTGTACCACCAGTGATGTGCTGCCCGGGCTTTGGTCTCAACCCGAGCAGCTGTATTTTCCGCCTTGAACACCTAAGATGACTCATGTTCTCCACAACCAGACGCAACACGGCACCATCTTTCTTCCTTTAAAAGGCTCCTAAAGTGGGCAGCAGGAACAGAATGCAGAGCTTTGCATCTGCCCCCCTCCTCCCCCCACGGATTTTGACCCTTAATACCCTCACAAAACCCAAAAGTTAGTCTCACCAGCCAGCTCAGAGGCACTCCTCTCCACCGACACCATTTCCCAGCCAAACCTCCTAACACCAGCATGGGTGAATACAGTTCAGGGTACAGCCTTCCCTTGGTTTGCGATCTGAGGGTGTTCTTCTTCTGTGACTTAAAAAAAAATAATATATATTTAAGGAACAGGAAAAAAAAAAATCACCCTTGCACATTCTTGCCACATCTAAAATTATCAACTTGATAGGTGAAATGTTTGGAAAGAGCGGCGTGATGGGAAGCAGAGTTATGACAGATGGTGAGCAGGCACTAGTGCTCCATCCGTAACCCGTGGGAATTACTTCACCACTGCTCCATGGCCAGCCTGCAGTGGGTTGGTATTTGAGCATAAAATACTGAGACAGTCTGCTGCACTTTGGGAAAGGAAAGCCAAATGTGAAATATCTTTGTGCAGGGCAGATGCAGCCTTGACAAATCTATGCCCCCTCCCATGCCTTGCTTCTTCAAATTATGGTTGTGCCAGTAAGGGACAAAGCAATGGTTTGAGCCAGGGTTGTGCAAAACTGCCCAGTTTTTACTTACTTGCGTTTCATGTGATGGATGAAAAGATTCCAGGAACAGGTCACTTTATCCATCACCTCTGTCTGTGCCAGAGGCCCTTGAAAATTTATCATTCCCCAACTCAGTGTGCTAGGGAGACATTCTCAGCTAAAGAAATCCTACTAAGGAAGGAGGTTCTCCAAGAAATCAGGAGAAACCTCATCAGTTTTCTTCAGGTTCCATCCTTCCCCCAGAGCTCCCAGCAAGCACAAAACAACAGGCGAGGGGCAAAGGGACAGAAGAGCAGATTCCTGAAACCCCAGCGAGGACCCCACCACTCTCAGTGCATTGCAGGGCACTGCGGTTTGCACCATGGTGCACTGCCACGTGTTGTTGGAAGACAATGCAAGCCCGGGACAGTCAGTGGGGTGGTGTAGTACCTGTCAGTGTATCAGCTGCAAGCCAGAAGGACCCAGGTGGAGGAGGCTGGCTGCTTCTCTGGGGTTGTTGTGAACAGAAAGGGAACAGTTGGCTGAATGTGTGCAGAAGAGCCCCAGGGTGAATAATCTAGCAATGCCAAAATGAGGCGTGAGGTTTCCTTATGAAGGAATTGGTCAGGATCATGGGCAACATTTGTTCTGGAAGGGAAGATGAGCATCTGACATCTTGTGCAACACCTGCTTTTGCCATCTTCCCTCGAGCAAGTGCATTGCTATAGCAAACCTCAGCTGCAGTCACAGGGACATCCTCTCCTGCTCAAGTGCTCTAGATACTATCTGCTTTGCCATATCCCTGGATTTATTTGTATTGAGAATTGCAGATGGTGCCAAAACATCTGGACCATGGCAAAATCACAGCAGCTCAAAGGACTGCTATGCTTCCAGAGTTTGCCACTGCATCACTGTTCAAAGATAAAGATAGGTATGCCCCCTTCTACTTATTTTAAACAGCAGATGCTGTGTGCTGCAGAGGAATGTTTGCAGCCCTACGGCTTCTTAGAAGATGATGACAGTCCAGAGTTTGGATCAAAGATATTTCTAGGAAACACTTTAAGTCTTCGAAAACACTCAGCAGTGCCTAGAAAGCAGTCTGTGATTTCTAGAAAGCAATGGGGAATCAATAGAAAGCACTGGGAAATTTCCAGGAAGTGCTCTGCAGTCTCTAGAAAACATTTGGATATTTCTGCAAAAGACTCAGCAATTCCTGGAAAGAACCTGAAAATGCCTAGAAACCACAGGGAAAGGTCTAGAAAGTGCTGTGAAAGCTGGCTGAAATTCTTAGGAAGCACATCAAACCGTTCAGAAAGCACCTTGGAATTCCAGTCTAATCCCTACAAAGCGCTCTGCAATTCCTAGAAAGAACAAGGATATTCCTGGAAAGCACAAAGAAATTCCCGGAGAGTAAGGGAAAATTCTCAGAGTTCAATCGGAAAGCCTAGAAAGTTGTGGGAGATTCCTAGAAAACCCACTGAAAATTCACAGAAAGCCCACTGAAATTTCTAGAAAGCACACAAACGTTTTTATAGAGCACCAGGGAATTCCTAGGAAGCGACGGGAAATTTCTTTTCTAACCATTAGGATCTGTTTTCACTGCTCACCGGGGGTGTGACAATTAGCATCAAATTGGCTTTGTAGTTACTGTGAACACTGGTATGTGGTCAGGTAGGTACCTTATTTCTGGGTTTGGTGATTTGTATACTAAATACCGAAGTTTTATGTATATAAACAAGCATAACATTTATATACATGAAACTTCTATACTTAATACAAATAGTAGATATGCTCTGCATACGTACAGGGTATGTCTATAGCCAGAGGATTCCTCTTTCTGTTGCATGCACTTCTACAGACATGTCCCAACAGCAAACCTTGAATATTCACGTCGAGTTTTACTGTGCTGGAGCCTGTCAGGCATTCAGCTTGTCCCCAGCAGGAGGAAGGACTGGGTCCCTTGGCTATTTATCACCCACTCGCCACCACTCCTTGTGCAGCCTTCTGGGCTCCTTCTTGCTCCAGCTGAAGGAAGGTGACAGGGCTGCGAGCTCCTCCTGTTAATCACCTGTCTCTCTAACTTTTTACAGGAGTAAAAGACTGTCTTAGAGAGTGGTCCCAAGGTTTTGGAGCAGACCAGCTGCAGCTGCCCTCCTTTGTCAAGGGAGCTGCAATATCCTCTGTCTTCCCTCTCTCCTGCTTTGCTTTGGTGACAATCAGGCACTGCCTGTTGGGGAGAGAAGGGGATTATACTGATTTTCTGCTTTTCCCATCTTCAGGATGATGGGCATCCAGCTGGCTTTCTCCTCTGAGCAGCCAAATAGGACTGACATCATGGTCAGGATGGTGGGAAAGGCTGTGTGGGATCCGGGCTTTGTTTGATCATATTTTTCTTTTTTTTTCGCCTCCCATTCTTGCAGAAGTCCCCCTCCAGCAGGCAGGCAACGCTGCTGTGCACACGTGGCCTTGCACAGGCTTTGCCACACTCCTAAGGTGCTTGGGCAGAGACATCTTTTTTAGGAGGTGCTGCCCAGGGTTGAACACCCACCTGCTGGCCAGAACCTGGGGTAAGGTCAGGAAAACACACAGTTTGTGCCTCAAACCTGGTGAGTGGGACTCCACTGCCTTGCGTGTCCAAGGGAGGACATTCATCATCACCTGGGGCATCACCCCAGCTCCATCATTTAGGTTTTTTCTTGGGGCAGGTGTCACTGCCACCTCTGCCGAGGTGTGAGCGTTCCTGTGGCTGGGCCACCGCCTCTGCTAGCTGCAGGTCCCAAGCTGGATCATAACCTGTTGCTTGATTGAAAAACAGAAGGCTGTTCTCTGTGCCCAAGTGGAAGATTTTGCAGGAAATGTCTTCTTGCAGTAGCCTTTCCAAGTGGTTGCATTAAAAATAAAAGCAAGCAGGCAAGAGGGGAACATTTTTCAAAGCTTAAACATCCTGTTATTTTTTAAGACAAACTTCAGCTTTTAGTTGCCAAAAAAAGATTTTGGTTTGGATTTTCAATGAATACTTTGAAGGAGCATTTTGGCAATAAATAAGAAAGAAGTCATTTGAGTTTTTAGTTGATGACGTGTTATTGCTGGTTGGGTTGGAGTACAAACTGGCTCCTACTGGGACTGACTGGGGGGCAGAGGAGTTTGCTTGGACCAACATCCTGCGCTCAGGCAGGGCACTTGCCCAGCAGCTCAGACGCTGCTCACATACCGAATTACACAGCAATGTTTCCACAGGGCCCTCTGCAAGGAAAACCTAGGCAATGGA